GCCACTTTTGTAACTCGAGGTAAATTTTTTGATAATCATACATAAAACGTGTGTTATATGGCCTTACACTGGCCTCAGATGGATTTTTTTTGGTCAAAAATAAAAAATGCACCCATAATCACAAGCGCAAATGAGATCCATTGGATCTCATTGCTTAAAAGAGTTCCAACGGGGTAAGAATGAGTTCTAAATATATTACAAATACAAATGAATACATTGAACATACCCTAAATAAAAGGTTTTTATGGCATTTTGCAGGTGAACAAATGTGTTTCAAATTTGGGTTGCATATCCTTGAAAACGATGCACCTCTTTTTGGAACTTCTACTTTCCAAAAATAAATTAATCGAAGCTAATAATTAGTTTTCAGTTTACATTGAAAGGTTTGAAGGCATATTTGACCTTCATTCAACATTTTTTTTGGTACAGGCCAAATGAATTCACAATTCAAATTAGTAAAGTTTCGGAAAAACTCAAGAGCTCAATGTAATTTTACTACGAAGTCACTTTTTAAAGAGGTTCCCTTGGATAGGTGGAGCCATTTGTTGAGGCCAGAGTAAATGCATTATTAAAACATTTTATTGTTATTGTTTTTCGACAACACAATTTTAATTTGCAATAGTGGTGCCAAACTTCGTTACTTTTACGTGTTTGTAACTACCCGTTACTTTTCGAGTATGTATTCGTTACTCAGTATTCGTTAATCCGCTTTCGTTACCGCATTTTCGTTACTGTGCTTCCGTTACTGAAGCTTAAATGCTTTTTTTCGGCAATAAAAGGAATTTTTAAAAGCATATATATTAATTATAATAAACTATAGATTTAATAAATTAAAATAATTATATAAATGAATTGTTTGATCCGCATAGTTTGCGTTTAGCTTATCATCTCCTACTAGTTTCAAATGAATCCAAATTTCATTTTTTTATATTAATATTTTTGAACATTTTTAATGAATTTGATAGCGAACAAAAATTTTGTTCAAAATAAAGTAGTTATTATTATACCGCAAAAACATTACTTAAAAGTAATCGTTACCAAGTACTCGAAAGAGTAGTTATAACAAATACTACTCATTGGTAAAACGCTTAAAAGTAACGAATACAATAAAAAGTTTGTATTCGTTACTCAGGTATTTTTTGAGTAACGAATACAAAGTAACGGATAATTACATTTTTGGCACTACTAGTTTGCAATGGAGTTGCCGTTCTTGTAAGGTATTCTTTGTTGTAGTAACGTTGCTATCTAAAAGTTAATCGAAATTATTTTGTTTGCATGACCATTTCAGTTTCCTAATCATACTGCGGGTGTGAAGTTTTAAATTCCGGTATTATGGCAAGTACGCAGTGTCGAGGCAATGCTGCCGTTGTAGTTTTAGGTGATATTGGTCGGAGCCCTAGAATGGAGTATCATTGTTTAAGTTTATTAGAGGAAAATTTTAATGTTGATGTTATCGGTTATGTTGAAACAAACCCTCTATATGCTATTAGAAGAGGATATCCGAAATGTAAAATACATGAACTTTCGCCAGTCCCAATAACGAATCTAATACCAATTTTGAAACTATTTTTTAAAGCAATTTGGCAAACTATAAGTTTATTAATTGCATTAATGTCTATCAGACGCCCAGATTTCTTACTTGTGCAGAATCCTCCGTGCGTGCCTGCGTTGTTAGTTTGTTATATATATTCTGCTGTTACACGTTCCAAGTTAGTCATCGATTGGCATAATTACACTTATACTATATTAGGATTGTCAGCTGGTGAAAAAAGTTTTTTGTGTGGGATAGCAAAGCGGATTGAAAGATTTTGTGGTCAAAAAGCGAATGCTAACATTTGTGTAACAAAGGCTATGAAGTGCGATTTACAGAAAAATTGGAACATTAGGTAAATCGGTTTATTAACTATGCACATTCATTACAGAAATCATATGTTGTATTTGTTCATAAATCAAAGATTTTTGCCAATGTTCTGGTTTCATTAGTTTTAATACATTTAAATTCTTTCACAGAGATATAACAGTACTATATGATCGACCTTCAGCTCGATTTCACTCCATTGATTTATGTAGGAAACATGAAATATTTATGAAGCTATCAAAGGATTATCCGCAGTTCCTTCCTAAATGTTATTCTGACCTTAAAGAATGTGGAGTTATTGAATCAACGGCATTTACTCAGAAGCAAGTTAATGGTAAGGTTGTATACAAAAAGCAGCGTATGGCTATATTAATATCAAGTACAAGTTGGACTCCAGATGAAGATTTCAGCATTTTGATCAAGGCTTTGAAAGGTATATTCTTGTTTTATTTAAGGTTTTGCTAAAGGCTCGTTTAGTCCGAATATAGTAACAAAAACGAAATCTACAGTGCAATTTTCGAGATATGGGCGAATAATGTTTTTTTTACAGACTTATTGCAACTGAAACTATAGGAAAGATTTATACATTAAATTATATAAAATATGTATAGTAAAATATTTGTTTCAAACATATCCGACAAATTCGGCAATATATTTTGGTAAACATGTGAGGTACCCACAATTTTTTGGAAATTGTTTAAAAAAATTTAATTTTATCTGTATCTCATTTATTGCTAGCTAAGTACATCAATTTTTACTTCAGTATTCAAAATTACGCAGACTGGGGTCGCCCTTCGCTTCAAACTCGACTTTAGTCTAGGGTGCAGTTGCGTAACTGTAGCCAATTTTTGTTTTGAAATTATTTAAAAACTTGTAAATTTTTTTACTATTTCATTCTGCTTTTTTTTGTTTTCTGAGTTTTTTTTTATATGATTTAAAGAAAGTAAATACGCGTTTTATATTCAATAAATATGCCTGTCCCGGAGACATACACATAGCCAATAAACTCTGCGTACACCTTACGAATTTTGATATGTAATAAAGAAACACAACATAAATAAATATTTTTAATTAAAATTTTTACATATATTTATTCTTTGAATTATTAAGTTTAAATAGCAAAAGACAAAAATTGTATTCGACTATTCATTCCAGAGATAACGGGATAAAAGTGTGCTTGTATGTAAAAATAGGCCCCATGAAGTCTGCGTACAATTTGTTTGTTTAGAAACTACCGTTATTTCTTAAGCAAATTGTTCTTATTTTTGCTCATTTGGTATTATTTAACATTTGAATTGAACATTTAGCGATCTCTGTGATCAATTAATTTTTAAATAGTAACTATTTTAAAGTATGAAATCAAGGGGAAAAGAAATTAGTGTTTACGAAAGAAAAATAATTATTAAACGATGGAAAGATGGAAAAAGTTTCCGAAAAATTGGTAAAACTATTGGAAGAACGCATTCATCAATCCAGCGCGTAGTGGACAACTTCAAAAAAAACCGGAATTTTAATATCTAAACCGCGTCCTGGGCGTTCAAAAGTTTTCTCAGTCCGAGAAGAGCGAAAAATAGTCCATATAATAAAGATGAACTCTTTCATTTCTTCTTTGAAAATTGTGAAATATATAACACAATCATTTAAAAAAAGTATTTGTGCGGATACTGCTAGGAAAGTATTACATAAAGCTGAATATCGTGGTAGAGTCGCTAGAAAGAAACCGTATATTTCACTTGTAAACAGACAAAATATGCGTTGAAATGCATTGAATTTGCAAACAAATACATAAATAAACTTCCAGAGTTCTGGAAACAAGTGATATTTTCAGACGAAAGCAAGTTCTGCATCTTTGATATAAAAGGTCGCCAAATTGTGTGGCGGAAATCAGGAGCAGCGTTAGAGAAACAAAATCTTGTTGGTACAGTCAAACACGAGTTATTATATGGGGGTGCATGGTGGCTGATGGTGCAGGTCAGTTGAAATTTATAGAACTGACAATGAATAAATGGGGTTATTTAAACATTTTAAAAAGAAATTGGAAACAATGTGCAGATAATTTGGGTTTATCCACGTCATTTTGGTTCCAACAGGACAATGACATAAAACACACAGCGGGGATTGTTAAACTTTGGCTTTTGTACAGCGTTCCAAGACAGCTTAAAATAAAACGCCTCAACAATAACCTAAGCTCAATCCCATTGAGAATCTTTGGGATTTATTGGAAAAAAGAATTCGTCAGCATGTAATAACAAGTAAAGAGGCTTTGCGGAATACAATGCAAGCAGAATGGGCGAAAATTACTGCTGAAGAAACTCAGAAGTTGGTTAATTCCATGCCAAATAGGTTAAGTGAAGTTCTAAAACAGCGTGGTTACCCAACAAAGTATTAAATTTAACCTTATTTTTATTATTTCTATCGATTTTATCAGTTTTTTTATAACTGTACGCAGATTTTATGGGGCCTATTTTTACATGCAGGCACACTTTTATCCCGTTATCTCTGGAATGAATAGTCGAATACAATTTTTGTCTTTTGCTATTTAAACTTAATAATTCAAAGAAAAAATATATGTAAAAATTTTAATTAAAAATATTTATTTATGTTGTGTTTCTTTATCACATATCAAAATTCGTAAGGTGTACGCAGAGTTTATTGGCTATGTGTATGTACAAACGAAGACCATTAAATGTACGAACTCTACTGGCAGCAACATGTAATAGACCATGCCTGAATACTAGTTTTGGGAAATAAATACCTACTTTATTCAAAATTTGTCTTTGTGATGTACTAATAATAAAGATTGCAAATTCTGTTCAGCAGTAAATGATAGTAAGATGTATTCTTAGTATCAAATTTATTAATGTGGTGATAAGCCAATATATAATGAATTAGTGAATTCAATTCTAGCATTATAATACTTTCACTGTCAGTTACAATTATATGATAACTATTGTAAGCTTATAATTTTTTAAGCTAAAATGGTGAATTTTAATATTTGTTAAGTATTATGGGTTTCAGTAATGTTTCCATAAATATAATCGATGATAAAATCTGTGTGTATTAAACTAATTTCTACAATTATATCATCGCTGCTCGAACTGTAGAAAACATTGAATAAACATCTCTCCTAATAATTAAGAAAATTCAACGTAATCAATTTTACTGCATAAGAAGAAAAATGCAAAAATATAGTAACTACAGACTTATAGAGATAATTCATTAAACGAATTAAAACAATTCTTTTAATATTAACTCAGATTCACTTTTATTATTACTAATAATTTATCATAATACTTTATGGTGTCCGCACGCGCTGCTAGTCAAACGAAGAATCAACAAATAAATTAATTGTCCATCACTGTTTTCAAACAGTGAAGAATCAACAAAAAATCGCTTTTGTGCTTGAAAGCCTCGTGCGCCACGAGTCTAAAATCAAAATAAAATATCTAAAGATAAAGAATATTTAAAAAGGAAGTAAATAAAATCGGAATTTGGTTTTAAAGAAGGACTTAGAACTCAGGAAGCACTATTCTGCATTAAAGTTTTAATTCAAAACTGCAAACACGTTCCCAAAGACGTTTTCCTCTGTTTTATCGATTATGAAAAAGTGTTTGACAACGTAAAACATTATAAACTTATAGAAATTCTTCAAAGCATTGATTTTGCTGACAAGGAATAAATTTAAATTTTTGTTTATTTATTTTATCCACACGGGTTAAACAGTTTTTCGAAAATATTTTAATAAAATTGTTATTATAATAAAATCATAATTATAATAAAATTATTATTATAATAAAATTATTATTGTAATAAAATTATTATTATAATAAATTTAATATGTATAATGTTTTATTTATTTATTTTATCCGCAAGGTTTTTTCTACAAACTTAAATGTTAACTACTGTTGTATAAAACAAAATAGCTTTTCAAGCAATATTTTTTCTTGTAAATTATTATTACAGTTTATTAATTGAAGAACATTTCTACCCCAATTATGAAATTTAATTAATTATGAATTTATAATTTCTGCAAATTTTGTATAAAGACAGTGTGTAAGTAACTTTATTCGGTTGTACTTATTGTGGATTTTGCTATTAATTACATTTTTACAATCCTGAGTATTAAAAAAGTACATATATATATGTTTTGTTAAGACGGCTAGATAATTAATCGTCATTAAAATTAAAGTTTTTTTTATAAATTATTTATTGAATCTTTCATTTAGAAACTAACAATAAGTGGATCAAATCTTAAAAACTAAATTTATTTTTTCCCTAGACCTTTATTTTGAAAAAACTATTGAGACATTAAATAATTTGTTACAAAATATAACATAGTAATCGTAGTCTAATACAGCCTACCTGCTTACTTCTACTTAATTGAAACAACACTATCCAGAAATTGTAATACTTCATAAGGCGGTGATTACCACTGGGTAGTCCCGTACTAGTCTGTCAAATATTGTTATTGCCATAAGTAGTACTTATTATTCATGCTTAGAAGAGAATGTATATAATAAAATGAAAACTAAAATTAAAAAAAAAAATTAAATATTTGAAATAAAATAATGTTGAATTAAATAAATCAAACAAAAAATCACATACAATTTAATCAAATAAAATTTATAACAGTATTTTAAATCAAATAAAAATTTTATTTAATGTTAACATATGTTAATTGTGTCCTTCTTTTTTAAATGTTTGTGGCCTCCTTCTTCTGTAACTGTTGAAACGCCTTTATGAAGGTTAAAATTTTTTATAAACCACGGTTGTATAAACCTATTGTCATTCTTAGGATTTTAGATTACAGCATATGCAGTTTTTCAATATTTGATGGTTTCGCTGTTCCCCACATTTGAATTCCATAACTCTATATAGTTTTTATTATGGATTTGTATAACAGAATTTTGTATTCAAGTAACACAGTAGCTTAGATGATGTGCCCATAAGCCAATGCAATGAACTTAGTTTTATATTTATTTGTGTTTTTAGCCTCTATGTGTTTATTCCAGGTTAAACACGTATTGTGATATATCCCTAGTTATTTTACATAGTCGTTTGAAGGTACTATTTGTTCATTAGTTGTAATATTGGGACAAGTTGCCTGGTCTTAGAGCAAATGTTGTATGAGTACATTTTTGTTCATTGACTTTGACACGCTGTACTGATAATCATTGCTCGAGTTGGTGAACATGATTTGGTAGTATGCGTTGTGCTATTGCTGCGGGATTTTTGCGTGCACTTAGTACTGCTGTGTCGTCAGCAAATCTTGTAGTTAAAGTGTTTTCCGAAGTTGGCTTATGACTTCTATAGGTATAATAGTGGACCTGTTATAGTAACAAGTAAAACTTTGTTTTGAGGATCTATGCCGTTGATATAGTCTTCTAGCTTTCCTTTTCTGTTGTTAAAATGCCTCTATTGTTTTTTTTTTACATTTATTTTTTGCGTTGCTTTTTTAATTCTTATCAAAGCCAATTCAGCACACATTGAGATTATTTAAAAAAATTAGTTAACACAAGTATCAATTTCATTATGCATTTTGAACGAAGCATGTTGTGGTATATGACAAGAAACATATTTACGAAATTTCAACCAGTTTATATTTTTCGTAAGAATTTGCGTTTGGATAGTTCTGTTCTGCTGAGTTTGTATTGTTATTATAGTTGGCAAATGGTCTGATAACAGTTCAACTGACAGCCTGCGACTAGAAATTTAGAACCGAGTTTTTTAAAAAAATTTTGGAAGTCTTGAACTTCTATATTGTGGTTGAGTGGAAAATTTAAATTAAATAAGATATCAATTTAAATTAAACAAAATACCAAAAAAACGTGTCTGATTTGACTTAGCTGCTATTGCGAATAAATGTTGCAAAAGTTCTACA